AACTCTGAAAACAAGAAACAATAGTAAAGTCAATAAGCTTGAAGACATTAAGTTCTCATTGTAAATCATGTGAAAATACAGACAGCACTAAAAAGAGCAATTTATTATACCTCTGTGCCTCACAGAAGAATGGCTTTTGGCATGGTATTCCACCTGAAGCCTCTGACCCTGGTATTGGCAGAATGGGCAGTGATAACTGCCAGAATTACAAATACACACTTTTGGGCTCTCGTCATGGTGTAAGTGTGTGATGTGTTTCTGGTCAAAGAAAAATAAACACAAACAAAACGGTTGGCAATAGGCTGGAATAAAATAAGCTGCATATACATTTATTTTGTAAAAATCGAATTGAAATATAGTTTATGCAGTTTTTTCAGGACATTGCTTATACAGCAATCCTACTATTGCATAGTATAGTTATTAGTATTAGTATTAGTACAAAGATGAAGGTAAGCCATGTTAGCGTTGTGGGCTACCTAGCGCCACTTATTTTGATGTACGTTTTTGTTGATAACGTTGCGAGTTTGTATCTTTCAGTGTTGAGGTGGGCACCGTTAGATTCTGTGTCTTTACGATCATAAATGATGTGTTGAATGTGCAGCTAGGATAAGTAATAAGGGAGCTAGGAGTGATTTTTCGGTGAAGTAATAGGTTAGCATTTTTCGCTCGGGGCTAATTCAGAGGCTCACTGTTAGCATTGTGTGTTTTAAAAAAAAAAAAAAATGTTATATGGATATAAAATATTCATAATTTATTAAATATTAAGGTTCCTTAGACGTTGTTTCCTGCAAATGACGCGATTTCGGCCCCGGAACCGGGTCCGTGGGGCCTAAGAAAATAATATATTACTTTCAATCAACACATTTTCAACCGCAGCAAAAACAAATAGTTAATTTATTCAGGGATACTTACCTCCATCGTACTCTGACGCTATGATTAACAGAACAGAACTGCTACCCCGGAAACAGGATGTCACGTGCCTCAAAGGTTGAGAAGGAGGGGCGTCCCGTCACGTGTCTCAAAGGTTGAGAAGGAGGGGCGTCCCGTCACGTGTCTCAAAGGTTGAGAAGGAGGGGCGATCTTGATGTTGAGAAGGAGGGGCATCGAGGTACTGCGCACTGCAGTGAGGGGTTTCTCGTGTATCGCGATGATGCTCGAAATGTCCCTTATAGGGCTACGTCTGTTTCCGGTGACTTTATTTTGAAATTCTGTTCCTGAGAAACGGCTAAAAAGCCTGAGATTATAGAATCAAACGAATAAATAAAAACAAGGATAATTGTGTGTTATTGTTGAGTAAATAACAGTGTGTTATTTAGAAAAGAATAACAAATTAGAAGGAAAAAAAGATTTAAAAAAATACAGATTTCATTATTCTGAGGCTCCGTGCCCCATTTCTTTTCCTCACAGACGACAAAAAAAGTCCGACATTATACGATTACAAATAAAATCAATAATCGTGGCTTGATATTGAGTAATAACATGTTTTTATGGATTACACAGCTTCTGGTCTTCTCAGACCCGACCGTATCCATTTGCGTCTCATATGCACGCAAAACTCGGACTCAGAACTCAATGGGAATAGTTGGCGTATGATAGGCACGCAAAATCGGACTTTAGTGTATCTATTGCACGCATTTTGAAATGTGTAAAGTCGTGTCATTTGTACGCAGACTGAAGAGAGTGGGTTGAACTGGTTGAACTATAGCGGGCCCTCTGTGAATGTAGAGAGGGACCAACAAGCTCTCCCGTCTTCAACAGTTCACAGTAACTCGCAGAGACGGCATTTAACCCTTCACATTCCAACAGAAGCTGAACAGGCAGATTTGAAGGATTTATTTCTTTGGAAATTTTATTTTAAATACAATTAAATCAAGTTATTTTGGTAAAACTAATGAAATATGTAACAACAGAAAATATTTTAAATGTTTTTTTTTTAATGTTTTCAAATATTATTTTTTAGAATATCTTAGGCCCTCACATAGGGCCTAGAGGGCCCTGATGGCTCGCCACTGATCAAATACCACCAAATGTCTTAATTGGTGGACCTTATGAGAATCCCTACTGTTGCTTTGAAAAACATATTTAATAGGAAACTCCTTTGACCTGTCTTGATGATCAAGAGTGTTTATTAGAAAAAGCCTTTACAATAGAGGTGTTCTCTCTCAGCCTTGATCTAATAACCCATCTGTGTGTCGTTCCCAGGATCGGGATGCAGCCGGGGCCACGGTGCTCCACCTGGCGGCGCGGTTCGGTTGTGTGGAGGTCATTCAGTGGCTGCTTTCTGTTGGAGGGGCAGCGGAGGTGAAGACACACTGTGGAGCTGTACCTGCTCACTATGCCGCAGCCAATGGGGACCTCACCTGTTTAAAGCTTCTTGTTCAACACGCACCGCGGTGGGTTCACAAGCTTTGCTAATTGTTCTTCTTATTCGCTTCTTTTGAAACCAATAAGGCTGAGAACACTACTGAATATTGCAATGCCAACATTCCACCAGATGTGGGTTTTATTAAAAAATGATAATAATTGAATAGAGGCAAACAACAAACTCTGGAGAGTCCAACAAACTATAAAACCAGCATCCTGGCCACAAGCTGCCTACTGTCGTAATACTAGAGACCAGTAACTGACATTTGACTTTATTAGCCTCACAAGCTGAGCCATTTGCTCAGGTAACCATATGGTGAGGTGAGCTGAAGGGAACCCTTTCAAAGACAAATCCTAATTCATCTTTCACCATGAGTGCATCGACTGTAATAGAACGTTTTTTTTTAACTATATAACAGTTTCAACCTTCCTTTCACAACTACAAAGTAGCCAGTCCTTCACTGAGTGGTTCCCACCATTTTGTACTTGTAGTTTTCATTGGTGTTAGATGACATACCGCTTGGAATGTCAGATTCAAGCTTTAAATGTATATCACCGTATATGTTCATTTAAGATAGCTATTTGTTTTATGTATCTATTTCAAACTTTTCATCATTACTGTGTGCTAGCTTTATTTTTAACAATTTATTGAATAATTGTTGTTATATTTATAATTTCAACCATCTTAAAGAGATTTCTATAATTGTTTAAGTACTGTTAGTTAGTTTTTTCTATTTCAACCAATATTTCCAGTATTGTTAGTTAGCGTTATTTATTTAAACTGTATAATCATTATTGTTAGCAAGCTTTCTCTATTGCAACCTTTCGATCATGTACCCAGTACTATTAGCAAGCTCTCTTTTATTTAGTTTTGTTAGCTAGCTTCATCTGTTTCATCTACTACTCTATGCTAACTATTGCAACAGGTTACCAAGGTCTAATCAACTTGTTTTTAAACTAACTTTACTTTTTGGTTAAACGTGAATGGAGAAACCAGCTCGAGTGCACTAGATTTTGAAAGTACACAACCGGAAAAAATCTGCCCCTTCCTTCAGACTTCCTAACAGAGCCCCTCCTCCAATACACACAAACGCGCACATGACCAATGAGGGCACGAGATAAATTTGTGCACAGATGGAAAGCTGACAGGCAAGTAGGCCATCTAGTTATTTTAGCTCAGATGATTGGTCAAGCACCACGGCTTCCACAGATGAATTTTTTTATGTATTTATTGTCAAAGCACTTAATATATTCAATGCTATCGGGATGTTAAGAGCATTCAATGGAATATAACAAAAAGTGTATCTGAAGTGAATTACCTACCCTACCTTTAACTATTTCAACAGTTTTCATTACATTTAAAGGTCCCCTATTATACTGTTTTTTATCAATATATTATAGGCCTCAGATATATACAAAACATGTCTCTGAAGTGTTTGGCTGAAACACCAAACAGATCATTGCAGCATTACCCATAATCCCCTCTGTTTCAGCCCTGTTTCCAAAGTGCTGATTCTCTGTCTGTTACTTGAGATGAAAATAAGTTGCCACTCCCCACGCCCCTCTGAGAGAGATTTGGTTAGAAAGAACACAATGGTGCTCTATGAATATGTGTTCACAGAAAAACACAGAGGGGACACATGTTTATGTATAAAAGACATAGAAAAAGTGGATTTTGCATAATAGGTGACCTTTAAGTAACTTTTTCATGGAAATTGAATACTTTTCAATACATTTTAGCTACAGTTTCAACCTTTAGGCTAGATTATTTTCTAGTTTTCTAGTAGCTCAATTGCAGCCTGTGGTGTAGGGTGGATGGGAGGACGTGTATGTAATGTGCATTCAGCCTGGCTACATTTACAGTTACATGTATGCTAGCAGCTATTAATGGTAGCTTACTTGTCATCTTAAATGTAGCCTTCTGAAGTTCAGCATTTCACCACTTTGTTAGGCTTTTTATTCTCTTACACAGAAATATTTGGATGGGTATATTGAAATCAAATCGGTTTCAAAATAATGAAAACCCAAATTTAAATCAGTTACCATTTTTTACTTTCTCCCAAAAAAAAATATTTTTTTTGTTCTGAGAAAAAAGTCAGAATTGTAAGATTAAAGTCAGAATTCTGAGAAAAAGTCAGAATTCTGAGATTAAAGTCAGAATTCTGAGAAAAAAAATGATGTGGCCCTAATCCTCTTCCGTACAGAGGTCTGATAAACACTCCTTTATTTGTGCCATAGACTGTGTATATAAAGATTTGTGCTTGTTCTGAGATTTAAATACTCAGCATTTTGAAACGTTTTGGGAAACATCATTTTTTTGTATTCCTTTTTTTTTCCTCTTTAAGATTCTGAATGTTATAGTTTGTCAGAAAACTTTGACAGTCAGAAACTGTTTTGATAATTGTTTACTGTGACTGTTAAAGTAATCTGAGTCATTTTAAACGCAAGAGTGTTCTCAACCCACATCTATTGACTTGGTCTGTTTTAATATCATATTACAGTGAATATTTGGGATTTGAGACTGACAAAACCAGAAATCACAAACATCCCTTTGCAGTTTGAAACACTTGCGCGATTTTCACTTTTTCCTGACGTTTTATAGACCAAACAATTAGTTTAATCTAGAAAATAATGGGCAGATTAGTGAGTTGCACACGTTTTTAACATAATAACATTATTCATACACATGAGATCAGCTTTCTTCAATCTCTGAGGGGAAATTCAGTTTCACTAGCCCGTTGTTGCTGTCTGTTGGTCTCCAGATGTGTGGACCAGCAGACGGTCCTTGGGGCCACCCCGCTCTATCTGGCCTGCCAGGAGGGCCAGCTGCAGGTTGCAGAGTTCCTGGTGAAGGACTGCGGGGCCGACGTCCACCTGAGGGCCCACGATGGCATGACCTGCCTGCATGCTGCTGCTCACATGGGCCACCAGGCTGTGGTGCTGTGGCTGGTCAGTGGAGAGAACTCGTGTTGCTGTGACGTATCAAAGTGTTGCTCACTCGTGTTGATCCTTATCATTCTCTCCACACAGGTGAGCTGCACTGCCGTCAGCCTGTCCGGCCAGGACCGTAACGGAGCTACTGCTCTGCACTTCGCTGCCAGCAGAGGGCACTGTTGCATCTTGGAGAGGCTGCTTCACATGGGTTCAAAGGTCATCAAGGATTACTGGGAAGGGACCCCACTTCATGATGCGGCAGAAAATGGAGAGCTGGAGGTTGGGAGCACATTTTTTATTTAGGTTTCCTTTTCTGTTGTTATAGTTATGTCTTATCTTGAATAAAGCAAATACAATTTCATAAAAGTATGTTCCATACATATATATATATCTCTTATATTCCTATTTTCAGAGTTGTAAACTCCTGTTGGCCAATCAAGCGAACCCCTCAGATCAGGATATTGATGGGTTTACAGCAGCAGACTTGGCGGAGTACAATGGACACCATGAATGTGCCAGACATCTCCGTGCCATGAAAAGAAATGTAAGCTCTCTCTCATCCACAGTATATTTTATTTCACACCTTTTTCCTGCTTTGTTCCTCTCTGTTAGCACTACCCACCTTGTTATTTTGGCATACAATTCAAAGCTTGCTTCTGCTCAACAGCAAAAATCTGGAAGGTCTTGGAACCCTGGTGAATAATTGCTTACTTTGCGACATGAATTTCATGCATGTGGAACTTGACAGGCCTCCTCTGTTATCTGCCACTCAGCATTATTGCTTGGCTCTCAGTCCAAGAGGTCTAGAGTAAGGTGACCAGATTTTTAAAATGAAAACCGGGGACCTTTTGAGTTTTGTGGTCAATATATCATTAACATATCCAATTGTCTTCACTGTTAAAGAAAAAAGGGGGACAATTCTGGTTTAATGTAATTCGAACATTTGAGCTGTTGGATACAAACAGAAGGAAGATAGCTCATATATGAGACTTCAAAGGTCTTTTATTTTGAAACTCTACATCATATTGTCCAGATTCTCTGAGTGACTAGATGAGGTGTCCTGCTATCACCCTGAAGTGAGGTGAGTCTTTGATAATTTGACAGTTTTTTTTATTTATTCTTGTATAAAAACAGAAGGACGATAGCCCTTATATGAGATTTCAAAAGTATTTTATTTTGAAATTCTACATCAGATTGTCCTGATTTTCTCTGATTGACTAGATAGGGACTCCTGCTATCACCCTGAAGTGAAACAAGTATGTGATTGACTTCGAATGACTCTTTGATTATGGACGGTTTCCATTAAATAATAATCAAAATATAGATGGNATTCTCTGAGTGACTAGATGGGGTGTCCTGCTATCACCCTGAAGTGAAACAAGTATGTGATTGACTTCGAATGACTCTTTGATTATGGACGGTTTCCATTAAATA